AAAAAAAAAAAAAAAAAAAGAAAGAGCCTTCCAGGCAGTTATGTTTACCCACATAGCACAGATGGAGAAACTAAGGCTCAGTGGAGTACCAGATGCTCATACCTGTAATCCTAGATTCTCAGGAGCCTGAGATCTGAGAATCATGGTTTGAAGCCAGCCATGCATCCAAATCCACAAGACTCTTATCTCCAATTACCCAGCAAAAAGCCAAGAGTACAGGTCTGACTTAAGTGGTAGAGTACCAACCATGAACAAAAAAGCTAAACAAGAGTACAAGGCCCTGAGTTCACACCCCAGTACTAGAAAAAGAAAAAAGAAAGAGGAGAATTTTCCACTGTTGCAGAGCTTTTAAGACATGCTCTTAGGGCTGGGAAGGTGGCTCAGTGGTAGAGTGCTTGCCTTGCAGGCATGAGGCCCTGGGTTTGATTCCTCAGCACCATATAAGCATAAAAAGCCGGAAGTGGCGCTGTGGCTCAAGTGATAGAGCACTAGCTTTGGGGAGGCTAGTGCCCAGGGACAGTGCCCAGGCCCAGAGTTCAGGCCCCTTGATCGACCAAAAAAAGACATGTTCTTTTATTCTAAAGCTGTGTTGTGTGTTGCTACTAAATTTTAACTTAGGGGCTGGGGTTGTAGCTAAGAGGCATAGCACATGCATGGCAGCACAAGGCTTGGGTTCAATTTCTCGTAGCAGGAAAATAAACATCAAAGCTAAATAAAATTAAAGTTAAAAGTCAATCTGATTGTCACATTAGCTCCAGGGCCCTTCCCCACTATGGATGTGGGCTCTTGGACTGGTTAGCATAGCAGCAGAACACTCCCACTGGGCATTAAGTTCCATGGACAGCATTGTCCTGATATGCTCTCTGGAAGGAGGCAGCTCTGATCTAAGATCTTCCAAGCATTCCAGAGGCTAAGGGTGGGGAGTCAGATGTTCTGATCAAACAGAAGAGAGAGGAGCCACACAGCACCTCACTCTCCTGCCCCTGCCTGACACCTTTTTGCCCCCATATTGCAGAAAAAGTCCCATCACTCAGTCTCTACCAACCAGCGTGCACAGCTGAGATGGATAGAGGCTGTCTGCCACATATAGCCAAGCCCCAGCCTCCATTGGCTTCTCTGAAAAACCAACTCACCTGCCTTTGATGGCATTGAAGAGCCGGATCCCATCTGCAGGGCCACAGACCTGGACCAAGTCATCTCTGGACATCTTAAGCAAGTCAGCACCTAGGCAGGGAGATGGCCACCCAGTTACGTGGGACACACAGAGAGGAAGGGCTCCATTCCTGAGCACCTGCAGACTCATATCAAGAGTAGGGGATGAGAAAGAGCCAGTCTCACCCCTGGTGGACATTAGATACTCCACAAACAGGAACAGCAAAGAGCTCAATAATTCCAGGAGATCATAGCCCATGAGATGTCAGAAGCTAGACCTAGTACTCATAAAAGGCCCTCCCTCTGTGCTTTCCACTGGCATTAATCAAGGTACATAGATTTTATCAGCAGGGGGGGGGTAGTAATTACATGTGCATGTCTCTGTGTAGAAGTGCACAGTCCACTGGAGGCTGACCATTCAAATACATCTTGGGAACTCAGAGACCAAGGGATGGGACATTATGAGCCTCCTAAGACCTTTTGTGGCAGCCCCACCCCCCTCCAACCCACCCTTCCTGGAGAACTACTGCCCTAACTCCATACTGGTGCAGACAAACTTTGCTTCAACTTTGATGTTTAGGGAAATGGACCTAAATGGTGGGAACTTGGTAAGGGCTAGCTCTCTCCTTCTATAACCTGTTTCAGGGCTTGTTTGCATATAATGAAGTTAAAGTGGTCATGCCCCTTATAAGGTATGCCATGTTGCATGAATATACTACAATCCATGCATCTACTCTGCTGAAAAGACTCGGGGTACTTTTCATCTTGGAGCTGGTGCAAACAGACTCCAGAAAATTCTCCTGCGTGGTTTAATCATACATGTGGCAAATCTGCTGGATATGTAGTTTGGCTCTAGCAGTTACTGTCCAAAAATTCCCAATGTGCTATAACCACACAACACACACACACTCCTATCCCCAATTTACTCATTTGTTGGCTTGTTTTTTGGTATGGGTACTGTCCCTTAGTTATTTTGCTCAAAGTTAACAAAAATGATAACCATTTGAGCCATGGCTCTACTTCCAGCTTTTTTATTTTTAATTGTTTGTTATTATAAAGGTGATGTACAAAGGGGTTACAGTTGCAGAAGTCAGGTAAAGAGTATATTTGTTTGAGCCACAGCACCACTTCCAGCTTTTTTCTTCTTGCTTATGTGGTGCTGGGGAATTGAACCCAGGGCCTCAGGTATGCAAGGCAAGCGCTCTACCACTAAGCCACCTTCCCAGCCCGAGTATATTTCTTTTTGAACAATGTCACTTCCTCCTTCATTCTCTCCCAGTTTTCCCTCCCATCCCCATCCACAAGGTGTATAGTTCATTTTTCCACATAGTGTCTAGTGAGTACCACTTCTCTATTTGTTCACCCTTTGTCCCTCCATTTCTGTGCCCCACCTTACTCTCCCAAAAACCCATGAATGAACAGACAAAAAGAAAATGAAAACAACAAAGAAAAAAAATCTCTTGCCTCCATTTCCTGGAGTTCACTTTGATAAATAGTATTTTGTATGATCAGATGCACATAGGAATTGTGCCCTTTGCTTCCAGCTTTTTGCTGTTTAATTGGCGATAAGAGTCCCAGGGACTTTCCTGCCTGGGCTGACTTCAAAGCTCTACTCTCAGATCTCAGCTTCCTGAGTAGCTATGATTATAGGCATGAGTCACCCACGCCAAGACCCCCACCCCATATTTTAAGGGACAGAGAAAGGTGGCTATATCCAGGGTCAGAGGAGAATTAGAAAGTCAGTACAATGTGAAGTCGAGGGGGTGGGGGAGGAGAGCTGCCTTTCTTAAAGACCAAGTGCCCCAATCCCCAGATCCCAATGCTCAGGAAAGCTCTCCACAGTTAGACATTGTTTTAGGTACAATTCCACGAGTACAATGGCTTCCCTTTCTATTAGGAATAAAAGCCAAAGTCCTCCCACTGTTCTATACTAGGCCTTCAGTTGTCCTGTGCTCCCCATGGCCTCTCTGATCTCATTGCCTCTGCTCTCAATCCCCTGGATCATCTGACCACACCAAGCACCCACCCATCTTTTGGCCTCTACTTTCTCTCTGCTTGGAAAGCTCTTCCCCAAAGCCCTCTTATCCCTCCCTCCCTTCTTTCTAGCCTTTGCTCAAGGACACCTCAGAAAACCTCCTCCCACCCCCGCCCCTGAGTGCAGGTCAGGGTCCTTCCCTGACCATCCCCACCCCCATGCCGGTTCATGCTTTTGAACTGACTCAAAAGCTCCAAGTCTCTGAGGACAGGCCACTGAGAACAGGCAATTCCATTCATTGATTGTTTCTGGGCTTCTACCCCTAACACCAGGAAGGCTCTGAAGGGCTGATCTGGGGGAGGAGCGCACACCGCTCTTGCTCACTCCATAGATGGCTCTGGAAGCTGCTCTGCTGGTCTGGGCTAGACCTTTACTCCCCGTCACTCCAGGATGAGCTGCTTGGTGGCAAGGCTCACTGCTCATTGTACCTTTGTACCAAGCTCAGGACTTCTGTCCAAGGGCCACCAACCGACGTCAGAGCCTTAAGGGAGAAGGAGCTATCCTGCCTCTCCTCTGGCTTCACATATAAATCTCAGGCTATGGCTCTGGAGACAGGGTGACAAAGCAGTGTTTCAGTGGTAAACGTTCAGTAAAAAGGTATGCTGAGCGCACATCTCCCTGATTGGTTAAGAAGACCCTTCCTGGGTAGGCAAGGACCATCTATGCCCACAGGTGAGGGCATCTGAATTCAAGTCACCCAAACAGTCCCTCTAAAGTCACCTGACTGGGACACAGAGGGGTTTTGGCCTGTGGCATCTCATGTCTCTAGCATATGACACAGTGTCCATAGCGAGAGAGGGATCTCACACTACTGTGGGTCTCCTGCTCCCCAAGACAGCCCCACAGAGCTGTGGACAGGGCAGCAGGTAGTCTTGCTAAGTACTTCCTAGATGCCTGTGGGGTTTTAGTGAGAGATGCTCACCCGAGAAGCTGGCGAAGAGCCGACAGAACTGTGAGAACCTGTTCCGGTGCAGCCATTGCTGGGCATCCTGGATGGAGGCAGATGGGAGCAAGTGCTGCGGGAAAGAGATGAGGCCTTGAGAAGCCGCCTGCAGCCAAGGGGAACCGCTAGCCCCAGAGCCCGGCACACACTTACATCACTGCCCATGGGAAGGGCCTCCACTGGGTGGGTTGGTGAACTGTTGCTGTAACAGAAGATGGACAGGCGATGAGGGTGAAGAGTTTCTGGGGACAGTCAGGGATCCTACATCTCGTCAGGTGTGAGACTTGTTTTAAACGAAATGAGAGCTCATAATGAGCAGTAGACACTGTCCATTCCCTCAAAATTCACAGCAAACACACCAGTGTGGACAGTTTCTGGTATGTGACATGGTCCTAGCCAACAACTCCTATACCCCAGCACTTAGCAGCAACCACATGATGTAACCCCTGCTGGTGAGCAGATCACTTCCCACTGGGAGTTTCCATCCCAAGTCCCAGTCTAAGGGAAGGTGGGCTGACTTTGGGCCCCAAGTCCTTCTCCTCTCCATAGCTCAAGGCCTGGATAGCTGCAATCAAACCAAAGTCATCAGCAAACCTTTCCTGAAAACAGGAGGGCCATGGGGAATACACTGGGTATCCACAGGTTGGCATCAGACAATACCATCTGGGTTTTGCCAATAGGGAAAGGAAACACATGACATTCCTTAAGCACTAACTCAGGAAGGACAAGACCCGTGCACCTGCTCTTTTAAGATAAAGATCTTCTAGCCAGGGGTTGATGGCTCATGCCTGAAATCCCAGCTACTCAGGAGGCTGAGTTCTAAGGTTCACAGTTTGAAGTCATAGAGCAGAAAGGTCTGTGAGACTCTCATCTCCAATGAACCAGCAAAAGCCAGAAATGGAGCTATGCCTCAAATGGTAAAATGCCAGCCCTGAGTTGAAAAAGCCAAGTAAGAGGAGGAGCCTTGATCTTGTGTACCTCAAGCCCCAGTACCAGTACAAAAACGAGAGGGGGCAGGCAAAGGCGGGGAGAGAGAAAGAGAGAAAGACCCTTTCCAAAATGGCCCTACTGGATAGAGGAGGTGATAGTTTTACACAATAGTGGGAACATAGCTACTGCCATTGTAGAGTATACTTAAACATGATGGAAATGGTAAATGTTATGTTTTGTAGATACCATAAAAAAAAATAAAGACTCTGGCAGAGATGACTTTTGTGCCAGCCATCAACAACACTGGCTGTCCTTCAATTCTCTACAGAGTATAGATATTGTAGGCTCATTCTTCTTGATCCTATGGGATCCCATTCCCAGTTTCAGAGAGATGTAAAAAATCACCCCCCAAAATGGTAGACACTTAAGATTAGGTTTGAGCTGGATGCTTGGGCGCATGTCTTATAATCTCAACAGTCTAGAAGCTGAGGCAAATGAACTATGAGTTTGAGGCCAGCCTGAGTTATATACAGTGAGACTCTGGGTCAAAAACAAAATAAAGCCAACAAAAACAGTAGGTTTGCTGGATCTAAAAATGATCCTTTTCCTATTTCTCTTTCACTTTCCTGGGAAGACTTTATCTTGGTAAAATCAAGTTCATGGGCAACCTTGCTTATTCACTCATGAGAAAAGTCTCTACTCCACCGGGACAAGAAAGCCAAAATCCACTCAGCTTCTGTGCTTACTTCTTAAAGGCACTTGGCCAGAATTTCTCTCGGCTACCATCCCAAACCAAGAACCTCAGTTTTGTCATGGGCCTAGGAGGCTGGGGCAAGAAGATCTCTGGTTCAAGGCCAGGCTGGGCTACAGTGAGAACCTGTCATCAAAAAAAAAAAAAAATCAAGGACTGGCCCAGTAACTTAGGGGTAGCACTTGTCCAACAGGACCCCAGACTTGCTCCCTAGAGTGTGGGGGTTAAATATGTCTGCAACTGTCACACTGAAACCCAGATAGTTGCCAGATGCTGTATGAAGATCAAGAAAAGGACCTACACAAGGACCCCAAAAGAATGGTGGTTGGACATACCCTTCGCCAAGACCAAAGCTGTTGGGAGAACCATTGTAGCTTGGGGACGGGGCACTGTTCGCCTGGTAGGCCACATCTGGCCACGGAGAGCACTGTGGGAAGAGAGACAAGACAATGTGACAATTTGGCAGTAGTCCTCAGGATGAGCTAGAGGCTGCAGAAGCTCTGGCCTTCGCTCCTCAGGCCCCAAGAAACAAGCATTTACTGAGTTTCCGCAATAAACCACAACAAGAAGGGTTAATAAAGTCACAAGAAGGGAAACCCAATATTGCAGAGATCTAAAGAAGGCATCCCGGTGCAGGTAAATGGTGAAAAGAGTCTATTTTCTTGAGTTTCCGGGTAGTCAAACAAAAAAGGGCAACAAACGCAATCTTGTGATTCCTGAGATAACAAGCGAAGAGGAAAATCAAAAAATCAAAACAGGCCCATTGCTCATAAATAGATTTTCCTAGCACAGAAAAATGTATGTAAATGACTGTTATAGAGAGAATAGGCAATTTCTGAAGACAAAACATAAACAGTAAAATTCAGTGCTAAAAAATAACAAAAAAAAATCAAACTTCATATAGGGGCACCTGTCATAGGAGTTACGCGTGCAGTTTATCAAGAGCAGCTCCTTCCAGCGTGCGTGCGTGCGTGCGTGCGTGCGTGCGTGCGTGCGTGTGTGTGTGTGTGTGTGTGTGTGTGTGTGTGTGTGTGTGCGCGCGCGCGCATCCTGCTGGGCTTCTGGAGACACAAAAACACACATACTGTAAGCCTCAAGGAACTTCCAGTTTGGAAGTAAAAAATGAGACATTCAGGAGATACCCAAGGAGCCCAGACCCCAGGCCTTGCCTGCTACGGGAGGTGAGCACTCCAGAGCTGTACTTCTTCCCTTCCACGCTGGAGAGGGCAGATCTGAAACTTTCCAAGCTTGGTAAATATTTAACTGCTGTAGGTTTGGGCTGGAATTTGTTGATGCTAAATCCTCTGGCCCCAGGAACGCTGATGAGCTGATAGAAGGGGGACCCACACCTCTCAAGGTCATGGCCGAGGGCTTTCCACCAAATACAAGGCTCTGTGATGATGGCTGTGTAGCTGTGGTGGTGGCATGAAGCTCACCAGCACTAGAGCCAGCAAAAGAACTGAGAAGCAAAGGCTCAGCCAGGAAGAGGAACTTGTCACTAGGCAGAGGACACCCCCCAGCAATGGCACCAGCACAGCAGGGACCAGCCATGGGAAGAAATGGAGTCCTAACCCATGGTGGATTCTGCTGTTCTGCTGGCTTGAGAGCAGGGCTCTTCCTATGTCAGGCCATTTGTCCACCATTACAATTACCTTCAAGCAGAAAAATGCCAATACACTGAAGGATGCTGTGTTAGTTTTTATGCTGTCTTATTTTATTGTAAACACTCATGTGCACGTGGCTTTTACATACATGGGCATGCCTGCATGTGCACAACCAATGCCCAGCCATCTTCTTCTTGGACAGTCTATGCCCAAACATTATTCTAAACTCAGCCTCAATTCTCACAGCCAGCACAGGTCTTGCCCACATCTTCTAAGTCCAATTATTCAATACACAAAATACCAACACCATTTAGGTGACCCATTGCAGGATACAGTGTGGAATTATTGTTTAAAGAAAACAGAGCCCAGTAGAAGTGAGGAAGCCAGCTGTGACCCAGATCACGAGAAATAAGAGGTCTGTGACAGCGAGCACCGCATCAGTACCCCTGGACCTGAGAATGGTTGCAGCAGACAGCCAAGGTGTTGGGCATCAGAGAAAATGAACATCAAGATCCACCCCAGCAGCAAAATCTCAGGAGTGAGATTGAGTGTCACTCACTAGCAGAGCAGCTGCCTAATCTACATGAGGCTCTGGACTGGTTCTTTGTCACATATGTTTGTGCGCGCGCACGCACACGCACTCACACACACACACACACACACAAACATTTTAAGAGCCTTCACTTACACACTGCCACCCAGGCCTTCTCCTACTCCAAAAGGGGGCCCTCTGCACATATAGTTGTCTTGTATGGATCTTCACAGTCATTTATTCCTGGTACCACTTGAACACTAGCAAACTGTTCATGAAGGGATTGAAAACAGATACCCCAGAAGCTCTTTAATGCAAAAGCACAGGACCGAGGAGTACATGTGTGCGCACTATGGCACACAAACACAGGAGAAGGACAAAGTGTGTATATCTGCCCGTTGTGAAGAGAAAGTAAGGCAGATTGCATCTGCCTGGAACCAGAGGCACCTGGAGGGAAGGAGGGAGAAATGGGAGAATACTTCTGCTTGTACACTCTGGAAATCTGAACCATGTGAAATGAATATTTTCAAAATAATGCAAGTGTTCAAATTTTGAGAAAGGAGCATACACAGTGAAGGGCAGTGGGGAGCGCAGAGTGACATCTGAACTGCCTCTAAGTCTCAAGTGGGCAGGGAGCCACACACACAGGGTGCACACTGAAAAGGAGACATTGACCCATTTACTCACCTGGGTGACCTTCCAAGACTGTACAGCCAGCACCCCCCCCGGCCCTGCTGGGCTGGCGGCTCAGCCCCGTCCCTGTGCTTACCTCTGTGAGGATGGTGGTTTCATAGGATGGCTGGTATTTCTCCTTCTCTTGAGCAGTTCTTTTCTCCATCTTCTCCCGGTCAGTCTTCTGTTTCCGGTCAGCTCCCTTTGGCTATAAGCACACAGCACAGGGTCCACTTAGTCCACAAAAATCTAGGGTGGCTACTGGAGGAAGACCTCGGGCCTACAGGCTCCCTGCCTAGCCCTGAAACCCCAAAGCAGAGGCAGGATGGCCCAGATGGGGCAGCACCATTTCCATACACTAGCATGTGTCTATGCCTTCTCAACAGAGAGAACGCAGAACCTGGCCCTTGGGGCTCATTGGGAAGTATCTGGAAAAGATTGCTACTGATGGCCACTTACTCATGGATAGGGGCTGTGGGACAAACCATAATGTACTTGTTCCTAGGGCAGCCACTGGACAGCAAAAGGAAAAGACAGTTGGACTTCTGGTCAAGGGTTCATGTTCTCTGAAATGCTGGCCATTTGCTGAAGACCTCTTTTATTGTTTGGTGTTTTTGTTTTTTGAGACACCCATGCTATGCAGCTCAAGCAGGCCCATAACTCATTGTATAGTCAAGACTAGCATCAAATTTTAAATTCTCCTGCATCAGGTTATGATCTCAACCACCAATGTTGAGGTCACAGGCCTATGCCACTGCACACAGCTGGTGAAGACTCCTTTAGCCCCAACTCTGAGGAGGTATACCTATTCCCCAGCTCCCATTCCACATACAGAACAAGGGAAGGGGACCTCAGGGGGAAGACCCCAGGTGACTAAGTTACAATAGAAGGCCCCAGTCCTGGATGCCTGGCCCCAGCCTCCTGAGTGCCCAGCCCCAGGCCTCACAGACACTATTATTCCCTCTTTACCAATTGGGGGCTGAGGGCTAATCTACTAAGCACATGTGATTCACAGGAAACACAAAGGATTAGCATAGGCTCTGTGGCTCCTTGAGGGAGGGATGGGGTTCATTTCCTCTGGTGACAGCTTTTGGTTTCCAGCCCAAAGGTTTTTAGGGAGATGATCTCTTGTGGTAATACCTGTGGAAGGTAGGGGTACAGGAGTACATACGGAACAGACCAGTGGCAGTGAACAGTGTGACAGCCAGACATGGTTCCAAGGAAGCTTGCAGGAGCCTAGGTTTGCAACCACACCTGGTCTCCCTGCTCCACCTCCAAGCTCCTGGTCCTCAGGTGGCCCTGCCTCCCTGCCCTGAAACCCATGCTAAAAGGGTTATCGTCAGATAAGGGCCAAGCCTGCATATGGGGGCACAGCTCTTGCCCTCATGAAGCCTTTGTGAACCTGGGTGGTCAGAGCAGAGCTGGTCTCTTCTTTCAGGGACTCTGGCACCTCATACAGAGCTATACAGGGTGTGGTGCCACCCCATCGGAGCTCTTAGTAACTCAGAGGGGTGACTGGGACAGAAGAGAAGGGGGATACTTTGGGTCAGCTTGATCTGGTGCAAAAACACCTCTGTCATCTGCTTTTATGAGTGGGGGGGGGGCAAATGGGTGAACGCACACCTCCTAGGACATCCTGAAAGGCCAATTCTGGGAAATCGGGCTGCTCCTCCCCAAAGGTATACCAATGCTTTCTTTGGGGGCATTCAGATAAGGCAACTTCCCACCTGGGAGCAGGGCCCTCATGGTCAAGATTCTGGCATGGAGAAAGGGAGCTAGAGGCAACTGGGGGAAAGAAGGGGTATTTCACGGGGCAAAGACCCTCCCCTCCCTTCTAATATCCAGCACAGTGTCTCATCCCCACGGCACACCGGAGAATGATGGACTAAAACTGATGTGCTAATAAGCAAGGAAGGAAGCTGCTGCACTGGAAGACTTAGGGTGATTTCTCTGGGTGACTGGACTAACTCTGAGCCACAAACAGGAAAGTGATTCTGATTATCTGAGCAGCTCCATGTAATCACAGGACTCTGAAAAATGGAGAGAAGGAGCAAGGGTCAGGACAGTGCCAGAAGGATGAGGAAGAACTTTCTGCTTTGAAGACAGGGGGAAGGGCCAAGGAATGGAACATCACTAGAGGCTGGAAAAAGCAAGGAGATGAACTCAGAACCTCCAGAACTGTGGACCAGTGACATCACTATCTAGTGAGACACACTGTCAGATAATCAATGTTTAGAGTTTGGGGAGGGGTGTAGGTTTGGTTGATATTTGAGACAAAATTTCACTATAATGCCAAAGTTGGTGTAAAGTCCTGGGCTCAAATAATTATTTAATCATGTGCACAGGTTTGTTAGTGCTGATACTGGCTTTTAAACTCAGGGCCTGGGCACTATCCCTTCAATTTTTTCTGCTCAAGGTTGACACACTCTATCACTTGAGTCACACCTCTACTTTTGGCAGTTCCTTTTTCCATTTTGGTAGTTAATTGGAGGTAAGATCTTACAGAATTTCCTGCCCAGGGTGGATTTGAACCAACCATAATATCATATCACAGCTTCATGAGTAGCTAGGATCACAAGTATGAGTCACTGGTACCAATCCTATCCCTGTTTGTACTTCTAAGGAAGCAAATGTAGCAGGGAAGTCCAGCTTTCCTGACCCCTTCCCCCCTTCCTTTCTGATCTCTCTTCCTTTCTGATCTCTTACATCCCAGGTTTTAAAGAGCAAAAAAGACATGCAAATATTCTTCCCAGTCTCTCTCTCTCTCTTCTCTCTCGTCTCTTGTCTCTCTCCACGCAGGGCCAGCATTGGTGAGGGACCAGAGTGGCCTAGTCCAGAGTACTGCCAGGCCCATGGAGTCCTCTGTCCACAATCCTCAGGAATCAGATCTCTCATTGCAGGATCCTTAGAGCAGACACCATTCTTGCTTCTTCCCCCAAAGCTGCTGAGATGGTGCCTTGCCCAAACCCCTGCTAGGGCTCAGAATACCAGACCCCATGCCCACAAGTTTATGGTTTGTCTCCCTTTGGATGTTTGTTTATATTTGCAATCATCCCTGCACAGGTCCACCAACACAGCCCAGTGATCTCTCTAATGCTCCTGTCTGAAATGACCTGCTATTGTCTTCCCACAGGCAGAAGTTTTCAGTGGGTTTCAAACTGACCTAGGCTACCCAATGGGCCCTGGGGCTGTCATTCAAGACAATTCCTGTGGAGGTGGCTCCGCCTCCCACTCTGCAAGCATCTGCTGGAGACACCCAGATAAACAAGGCAGGTTAGACCTGCAGAGAACAGTGCTGGCTGCAGGCACCCGGGCAGCCCTATGTGAGGAGAATGACATATCCCCCCCAAGGGCACATGGGAAAGAGCTGGAATGTTGCCTACCATTTTCAGGAACTAACCAGAGATAAAAGGCAGAGACAAGAGGTACAAGACAGGAAGCAGGAAAGGACAGACATAAGGAACCCCTGAGAATGTTTCTTTGATTAATAGACTCGGGAGTGTTGAGAAGCTTTCATTTTGGTTTTTTGGTGGTTTTTTTTTTTTTTTTCCCTTTAAGGTGCTGTGTTTTTAGCTGGCCTCTCTGAGCAAGGGCAGGGGGCAACCTCCTTGGTCCTCGTGGCATCACTGCAGGCAGATGCGGTTGACGGCCCGGCAAGGAGGGTCTCACCTTGAACACCTTGATCTGGCAGCTGGCTGAGTGCAAATGCTCCGTGTACTCGCCATTCTCGTTCTGCTTAAATGTGTCGATCTGTACTCGAAAAGGCACTCCCTTCTCACCCCCGTGCTTCCTTGGGGTGAACTCTGTGCTGATACAGTGCACCTGGGAGGGGAGCATTTTGTGGGTAGTCAGATGTGTGCCCCACTCTCTGGTTCCTCTCCACATAGAGGTGTCCCTCCCTTCTTCCACCTCCCCGCTGTTCCTCACACGTGGCCCACTCCATCACACCAAGGGCCTCCCTGGTCTTCTCCCTGCAAAAGACACCTTCTCGCATCTCTGACCCTTTGGTTCAGGGGGCTCAGCCTGACCATCTAGGTATGTTCTCAGCATTGATCCAGGCCACTGACCTCAGTAGCCCCGCCCTCACCTCTCACCCAGGGTCTCTTCCTTTGGCAGACCCCATAGACTTGACTGCAGGGAACCCAGCACGACCCTAACCACTCTGCCATCCTGGCATCCTCAGGCAAGGCTGGTGCAGGACCAAAATGCTCAGACCAGCTCTATCTCTGTTAAGTACTTGCTTCATAGAAGGTGTGATGCGGATACATTACTATATACTACAATGAATTAAAACATAGTAATTGTTTTGGTTGGTCATGGGGCCTGAACTCTGGACATGGGCGCTGTCCCTCAGCTCTTCAGCTCAAGGCTAGCACTCTACCACTTGAGCCACAGCACCACTTCCAGCTTTTTCTGCTTATGTGGTACTGAGGAATCGAACCCAGGGCCTCATGCATGCAAGGCAAGCACTCTACCACTGAGCCACCTTCCCAGTCCCATTATAATAATTTTTATACAGTAAAAAAATTATAAGACAATGCGTGGCTCAAGGGGTAAAGCACTTGCCTAGCCAGTGCAAGGTTCTGAGTTCAAATCCCAATACCAACACAACAACAAACTTTTAAAAAAGGAATTTCTTGAGTGAATTCCATAGAATGGGTATCGTGTTGGTGGCTTCGGTATTACAATCAGAAGCTCAAAATAGGGGTAGGAGGAACTTGCTCAAGAGTACACGGTGAAAGCTAAGCACTGGTGGCACACACCTAGCTACTCAGGAGGCTGAGATGTGAGGATAGAAGTTCAAAGCCAGCCAGGGCAGAAAATCTATAAGATCATATCCAATTAGTAGCACAAACCCAGGAGTAGAACTGTGTGTGGTTCAAGTGGTAGAACACCAGCCTTGAGTGGAAAAGCTAAGCAAGGATGGGAAGCCCTGAGTTCAAGCCTCAGTATCCACACACACACACAAAAAAAAACACAGTGTGACTCAAAGAGAGAGCCAGAATGCAGCCCAGAGCCATACTACAAGGCCACAGCCATACCCTTGACCACCCAACCTCATGGAGCCTGTTAACAATAGGAGATAACAGTGGATATGCATAATGAACTATCATTCAATGAATAACAACTATAATGGGGAAAATGTCTACTTTCTAATTATTTATGCTGATCTGGAGAAAGTTCATAAATTCTCTATGTAAGCTAAATCCAAACAGAATATTACAGCATTCTAAGTTCTTTCCCAGCTAGCTGGAGACTGAGCAGTTTACACTCCTCTTCTCTCCCTCAGCAACCTTCCCTTCAAGAGAGAACAGGAGACCATCCAGACTCCCTTCAAGAGAGAATAGACCATCCAGACCCTTCAGGATGGGTTGGTTTTACGAAGCTGCAAGCTGGCCTCCAAAGCTCACTCACTCACTCACCTGAATGAAGGCAGATGCTCTCTTTGCAGGGTCCCACAAAAACTCCACTGCATTCAGTTGGGTTGGGCTGGCCCTGGGGTCCAAGATACCAACAGACAGTGGAATATCTGTGTACACACACATACACACACAAAGGTGCAATTGTCAGCCTCTCCCAGTACTCAGAGAAGGATCCTCCACAGAGGGCCAAATTCCTGCACAATTTGCAATGCCAAAAGCTCTGGAAGGTAAGTCTGGCAGAACTCCCCTGGCACACAGCCTGACTTGAACTGCCGTGAAGCTCTTTGTAGACTTTATCCTTTCTGTGTGAACAGTCATTTGATTTTGCTGCAGAAATATGGTACATGATTTCCTGTTGGAAGTGTTCCCTGCCACCAGGGGGGTAACACACCCCATTACCATTCTGGCTGATTCCTAAGGTGCATCTGATCTCAAGGGATTGCAATGAAACTCTGTAGTCTAGTACCCAAATCCCAAAATTCCACTTCCATTATCAAAATCCTGTTAAACTTGGTATTTTTCTACAGAGCCTTCTTGGAATTCTTCTCTAACAAGAGGTCTTTATACTCTGTAGAAATTTGTTTTTCAAAGAAAAAGAGAGCTCCTTGAAGGCAGGACTTGAAAGTCATCTGAAGATGACAGCTAGTCAGAACCCCAACATTTCTTTTCTTTTTCTTTCCTTCTTTCCTTTCTTCCTTCCTTCCTTGAATTTTCTGAGACAAGGTGTCTCTAGGTAGCCCAGGCTACCTACCCCTTGAATCCTTGGGCCACCTGCTTCATGCCTCTTAAGAGAGCTGGGAATATGGACATGTATCACTGTGTCCAGCTTCATATGATGTCTACCATATGGCATCTACAAAGAGCTCCATAAAGGCTGCTGCCTCAGGCTGGGCTTGGCCAAGGAGACTCACCAATGTCCAGAATTCTGTCCCCCGGCCTGCTCCACCGCCAGCCTTCCAGCTGCTGGTGTTCTGTGTACTGCAGTCGGCGGTCATGGAAAACCACACGGATGATACTCTGTAAGGGAGGTGTGGGGTACACATCTCAGTGGAGGGCCAGGGGACCTCACCTACCTTCAGCCAGGGGACCCCACCTACCTCAAGTTCCACCTCTGGGGATCTGATTCTATGTACTGCTTTCTCCTTAGAACCCACAAATAGGAAGAATAAAGAATGCCATCATTTTCAGGATTACAAAAAAGATTTGACACATATGTGATGGATGGACCCTTTTGTGTAGATAAGCAAATAAACTGAAGCTCAGAAAGGTTCAGTAAGTGGCGGAGGCAGGCTTGAACCTGCAACTGTCTGATTTAGATCTGGTTTCATCAGCAAAGTTATTCTGGCCCTTGGTGCTGTGTAATCTCAGGACAGGATGCTACAGAGGACCAGAGTTGTAGCTTAGGGATGAGTTAAAACCCACCTTTCCCTTTGAGGTCTTTCCCCACCTCCACCCACATCACCCCTCATCCGGGTGGATATAACAGGACCTGAGGCCCAGGGCCCAAGGCTGACCTTCACATATTTTGTGTTCAGATCTTGAAAGTCTCCCAGCTTCCGGTTCTCCAATAGTCGGATTTCATAGGATTGACCTGGAGAGGGTTAACGATACATATCCTGTTTCTGAGTGTCCAAATTTGGGGCTCATCTAGCTAGCAGCCTTCTCAACACCCTCTATGGCCACCCAGGCCTCAAAGCCATGATGAGTATTACAGAAGAAAGTCTAGACTAATCTATCCCCCCCCAACTGTCCATCCAGCTTGGTGGGGCCTATGTCACCCCAAGGAATATACCATGTGACCCCTCCCCCTCAGAGATAGTACCTTGACATTTACCAAAGAAAGATATTCTAAAAAAAAATACAGTTAGCATTAAAAGGGACACATCTCCAATGGGGCACAGCCACTTAAATTCATGTTAGTAGTAATAACTAACCGTGCCATTCCTGAGAGCAGGTGTAAAGGAACCAAGACATTAAACATTGTCTCTAGTGGGAAAATGAGAAACATTTTTCCCAGTTAAAAGAATTCCATGCATTTCAAAGGGTGTGGAGATTCTATTCAGTGACATATAACCAACATAAGCTGGCACAAGAATATAAATAGAGCTGGGTGCTCATGGCTCATGCAAACAGTGCCCAGGCCCTGACTTCAAGCCTCACGGACTTACCTGCCTGGCTGTCATTGAACCACAATCTTCAGATCTCACCTGCCTGAGTCATTATAATTACAAGTGTGAGCCACTCGCTGCTGGCACCCTTTTCATTGTTAATAATTATAGACTTACAAGAAGATATAATTCAATGGTGGCATCTAATGTGATGATGATACATTATCAACCTGAGGTCTGACACTAACACAAAACAATTCACAAAACTAGATCTTACTCAGATCTCCTTGGGTTTTGCCTCTATCTATCTATCTATCTATCTATCTATCTATCTATCTATCTATCTATCTATCTATCTATCTGTCTATCTATCTGTCTGTCTGTCTGTCTGTCTGTCTGTCTGTCTGTCTGTCTGTCTCTCATACATATGCAGGTGTGTGAAATTTTAATCCATTTAAAGACTGTTTCTTTTTTAAGTATAGACCATCATCTTATGGCAAATAGCAAAATAAGTTACCATTAGATAAAATAATCAATTTGTCAAGGTAGAAGGGGAAATACTGATGAGAGGATAGAAACTTCATTTGGATAGGAAGACTAAGTTCAATATGATGACTATAGTTAACAACAGCATACTGTATTCTGAAGTTTGCTGACCTGTGAGGCAACGTATGTATTAATGTGACTTTTTTTTTGCCAGTCTGAACTCAGTGCCTGGGCATTGTTCCTGAACCTCTTTGTGTTCAACCACTCTACCACTTGAGCTGTAACACCACTTCCTCCTTTTTCTGAGTAGTTTACAAACTACCTTTCTACCTTAGCTAGCTTGTGATGGTTATCCTGAGATCTCAGCCTCCTGAGTAGCTAGGTTTACAGGTGTAAGCTACCAGCATCCAACTATTAGTGTGACTTAATCATCATATATGTACACGTTTCAAACTTAATTTTTTTTGGGGGGTCCAGTCATGGGGCCTGAACTCTGGGCCTGAGTGCTGTCCCTCAGCTCTTCAGCTCAAGGCTAGTGCTCTACCACTTGAGCCACAGAGCCACTTCTGGCTTTTTTCTTTTTGCTTATGTGGTGCTGAGGAATCGAACCCAGGGCCTCAGGCATGCAAGGCAAGCGCTATACCACTGAGCCAACTTCCCAGCCCTCAAACATAATGTTGTACATGACAAACATGTACAGCTTTAAGTGGTCAATGTTAAAAAGCAGCTTCTCATTATGTTATTTTAGCTCCCTATAATACACTTCATAGGAAAGGATTTTCTGAACCTGAAATCAACAGAAAAAAGGAAAATCTAGCCATAAAAAAGTAAAATTATACACACATATATAAAACAAAACTCCTAACAATGGATTTAAAAACCTAATAACTAACATATTATTGCATAGCTTAAAAGGCAACTGACTAGGGCTGGGAATGTGGCTTAGTGGTAGCCCTGGGTTTGATTCCTCAGTACCACATAAGCAGAAAAAGCCAGAAGTGGCGCTGTGGCTCAAGTGGTAGAGTGCTAGCCTTGAGCTGAAGAACTGAGGGACAGCGCCCAGGCCCTGAGTTCAGGCCCCACAACCAGACCCCCCCCAAAAAAAACAATTAAGAGTTCTGAGATGAGATGCTATTAAGGAATAATTCCTGTGAGCCCTAAATCCAATGAGAAGAATCTACTAGAAATACAGTGAAGGCAGAGGAAAAGAGGATGGCTAAGTGACCATGGAGAGAGAGACTATATCTTGAATGCCTGCAGCCAGCAGAAAGTAAACAAGGCACACCAGTTGTAGGTTTCCTACAGCACTGTCACCCTGCCTATCTTTCCATGATTTTTCAGCTTCCTGGACTGTAAGAGAATCATCTTCTGTCATGATCAGTCAAGGCACGTGCAGTCAATTTGTTAAAGCAGACATGGGAAACAAGCCAATGACTAATGAAATGGATAAAGAAAGGAAATTAAACCATTCAATCCAAATATCTGAGGAACAACAATTGCATGCTAAGTGCTATAGAGGTGAGCAGTGACTCAGCTGGTGTGGATATCAAAGAGCTCACCAGCACAATGGTGAACAGGATGGTGGCCAAGCCCAAACAGGCCCCCTCAGCCATGTCCGCTTCTGGGCTTTCATGGAGTTATCTTATGGTATGCCCAAGCAAATGCTTCTCCAATAGAAGACCCAGCACTGCTCTGGGTTATGATGGGTGTCTTTCCCATCACAGGGAAGAGCAGCAAACCCCAAATCCATCCTGCCTCACCAGCCTGCTTGAAGAACATGATTCGTTAAAGGAACTTGCTGACTAATTCAACTCATCTAACTTTCTGCCAAAGGTAGATTTTCTAAGAGACATTTCCTGGCTCCTGAACCAAGAGTCCAGCACTCCCTGCAAGGACATACAACGCACGGTCCACACCCGAACTGGTTTTTCCAGTGTCCTCCACCTTCCCTGATGAAAATGTAGATGACACTGGCAGAGGCCCAAGGCCCAGATGGCCATTATGTGAATTTACAGGCACCTCTGGAGACCAATTAGCACTGACCCCAGGTTCTGTGGGGCAGCCTCGACTCAGGCCAAGTACCAGGGGTAGAGGGCAGGTAGAGGTTCCACTGAGGGGCCTCTCAGAGCAGAGGCATTCAGTACGGCCTCAGGCCAGGATCATGCCATCACAGCAGAGTTCCACTCTAGGGCCTCTCCCCTGTCACACTGTACCTCCAGCCTGGCTCAAGCCTGCAGATGGAAATCCAGCCAGCCTGTCCCAAAGCCAACAAATGGGGGAGAAGATGGAGCCCCCATCCCCACGGCATGGTGCTACCCAGTAGGCTCTCCTCCAGTCACACACTAGATCATGAAATGTGGACCCTGATCATGAAATGTGGACCCTGTTACCTAGTCAGAATGGATTCTGCACATGAGCAAGAACCATGGAACCCATAAAGTCATATGGAGACCCAAATTGTGTCTATTCTGCTCATCCCTGCACTGTCCAGAATACAAATGCTTCCATGTGATTTCCTATACTTTGCAGTGTTCTTCTAGGCAGAAACTATGGGATGTGTAAAGGTAAAACATACTCTTGTCCTCAAAGGGTTGGCAATTTTCTGGACACTTCAAGTGGGGCCGGAAAGGGGCTAGGATAAAACAGACACTGAAAATTTCACTAGAAGATAAAAGAGATGCAAAGGTGGGTGCTATTCAGCCCTATCACGAGGATGAACATGACAGTAAGAACCTGAAGAGTGGATAGACTTTCAATCATCAAGGGAAAGAATGAACAAGCCAGTATTCCTAAGCAAAACTGCAAGGCTTCTAGGAAACAGTAACTAAAAGCGTCATTCATGAAGAACAAAGGTATTAGCAGGTAATATACACAGGTATTAACTCCCTAGACTCCAGAACAAGTTAAAAGCAAGGTTTAGAATTCTTTTGGACAGGGAGAAGTAAAGGCCCAGAGCAGCTACCTGCTTAGGGCAAGATCACAAAGCTAGTTAGACTGAGCTAGGCAGTTGTACGTGATTCCCTTTCAACTTCTTTCTGGAAGGCACCTGCTTCCATTTTGCCTCCAGGGACTTACAGCATAACTCCCTCCCCTGTTACGATATTTGTTGCCTACAATCTAAACAATTCTTTGAGAAGGTAAAACATCACTAAAGGAGGCAAGAGTTAAAATTACAAAAATGTGCTATGCTTATGAAAAGTTTATCTTAGAATTACACACACACACACACAACACACACACACACACACACACACACACACACACACACACACACACACCAAATAAAATAACCTCCACCTAGTTGCAATCCATCTGGCAGGACATGGTTGAGCTCCTTTATGGACATTACTTTTCTGTCTACTCGATCTCAGTCTAAGCTCTTCCTTCTCTTCACAGCTCAAATACTCAATGCCCTTGAACTTGGTTCTCTGAACCCAGACAGGCCTTAAAAGTTTGACAGATTCATAATCACAACCTGCCATGTCAACTCATGATTAACTGTTCCCAAACCATTTACAATGCTCTTAAGATGTTGTAAAGTTATGGTAACTAAACCCATGACATTCTTTTGTTGTTGTTGTTGTTGTTGGTTGTGGGGCTCGAACTCTGGGCTTGGGTGCTGTCCCCACACTCTCAGCTCAAGGCGAGTGCTCTACCGCTTGAGCCACAGTGCCACTTCCAGTTTTCTAATGGTTTATTGGAGATAAGAGTATCATGGAGTTTCCTGCCTGGTCTGGCTTTGAACCACGATCCTCAGATCTCAGCCTCCTGAGTAGCTAGGATTACAGGCATGAGCCACTGGCTTCCAGCCTATGCCATTCTTGTAATGAAAACAGAACCACAAAAATCAGACTAAGTAGCCCAGAATAGATCTACATATGTAAAAACAGGATAAAGGATAATGTAGGACATGAGTTATCCACGTGGAAAAATAAATCCCTACCTCACACTATATTGGAAAATCAATTGAATGAGAAATCAATTGAGTTATAAAGAC